ATCCAGTCTTGTTAAGACTTGGTAAAAGAGAATTAAGTCAAAACAGCGTGGAGAGGTGACAAAGAAACAGTTCGTCGAATTTGTGATGACATGGCAAATTACGATTCAGAAAAGAAAATGAAAAAAAAAAAAAAAAAGATGAAAAACCCCAGTAAACCAGTGACTTATGTAGACTCCAAAAAGTTATAAATTTAAACCCTTCGATTTTGTGTTTCAGTAACCCCAGGCAATCATAACTGCTGTCACCAAAGTCAATTCCTCAAGTTCCCACTTTTGTAAGCACAAAAGTTTAGCTGATAAATCGAGACGCAGGAAAAATTCTAACAAGAATTTCCCACCAACTGAAATTTAAGAAAGAAATTAACGACTACTTTTATTTGAAAACTCGACACCATTCCATTTTTTCTTTTTTTTTTTTTTTTTTTTTTTTTTTTCGCCGCTACATGTTTTTCGTTCGTATCAAGACTAACTACTTAGGAGTTAGCCAACCGACATCGCCTTAAGAAGACACATCACTTAAAATGGCGATTGGGTTAATTCAACGTTTTAACCAAAACGCAATTTGAGTTAAATCCACAGGGAATTTATAGTTTTACAAAAAAGATTTGTTTAAAAAAATTTATATAAACATTTTTCTTTTCTTGGAATAAAAAGCATTCAGTTAGATGTTTCGAATAACTTCACTAAGTAAGTACACAAGTGGTTGGAAAATCCGGCTGATGGAGTCGGACGAAGCTAAGGATTGGAGTGGGCCTGTCATGACAATACAAACACAGATTAACTTAACTAAATTAACCATATGTGGTGCTCTCGAAGAATGTCGAGAATTTGAATTTGACCATAACAAAAATGTTACTCACTTTGACATTCACATTACCTTGTTTCTTTTAAAATTGTCTCATGTGAAAAGCCATGTCAAAAGCGGTACTGTCCACATTGGTGCTTACGACTCTTCATGTCATCTAATGGTATTGATAACTATTCACAACGTTTTCGCAGTTATTTCTGATTTTTTTTCCAATAAATACTTGTTCCCTTTAATTAACTTCTTGCCTGAATCACGGGATAAAAAAAAATCATACTGTGTATTGCTTAATATATTGTAATCTAATTGTCATCTTTGATAATGGCTTATGTAAGCCGAAAGCTTAGATTGGATTAAAAAAATATGGATCAATATTGTGATTTTCTTTCTTCGTTTAATGATAATGTTATTAAGCTTATCAGACGATATGAAAAGAGTTTAATAAAATAAATAGACAACACTTGTCTATATTATTTAATGAAGCATGCATCAATGAAAAAAATGCTGCCTAAATACACACAATTTGAATTACATGATCCAGCAGACCACAAATCTATCAACATTTGGAATTATAAATGTAGCCTTGTGAAAAGGCAAATTGAAATAGCCAAGGAAAAATTGAACATCCTTAACAGCAACAAACAGGATATCTACGATTAACTAAAGAATATACCTACCCCGGACCAACTGGAGAAAATTACGCATAGACTCACGGAAATTACCAACAAATCTGAAGCTCAACACCGATTTAAAATTATAAAAATAACTGAATACATTATACAAAGGTAATATCACTCTTCCTAACAAAACTGATAAATGCAATAACCTTTCCAACTATGAACTAACTAAGCACCAAAAAGAATTACTTAACCTTGGACCTAACTGCCATATATACCGTAAGTACAATCGACTTTTTAAAAAAATAGAAATTGAGACGCTATACCAAAAGATTGTTAAACTCCAGGAGTGAACAACTAATAGAAACTACACCAGAATTTCAAGACTTACTTAAGGCCGAGGCATTCAAGGATCGGCATGATAAAAGCAGAAACTCCTCAAAAATAATTTCTAAACAACTGAAAATTGCCGTACAAGAACGACACAACCACCCTGACATTATTGTAAAAAAAGCTTATAAGACCAACATTTTTGTCATCCAAAACAAATTGGATTACAACAAAAACTTGACCACATACTCAATGATCACATAAAATTTTAAAAACTCAAGAAGAACCCGATCAAACAGCTAAAATCAAAGCTTAATAAACTTATTAATGTTAATAATGCTGAACAGAACTCTTTAAAACTCCTTAAAATTGTTTGTGATTATAGACCTGGCTACATATATGGCACTATAAAAACACATAAACCTAACTATCCTCTCCGTCCTATCATATCGCAAATTCCAACTCCTGTATATCATCTAACAAAATACATTAACCAACTTATTACTCCCTACATTCCTAGTAAATATAGTGTTAAGTCAACATTAGAAGTAATCCAAATCCTAAAAAGTGAAAAACCTGACAATGAAATCATGGCTTCACTTGATGTTGAAAACCTATTTACCAATGTCCCTGTTAGTGAAACTATTGACATAATCATAAGAAATATATACAGTAACTCATCTTTACCCCCACTTAAAATTAATCCTAATATATTACGGAAAAAAAAAATATTAGCTTGTACTACTGAAGTCCCTTTCTTAGATCATAATAATAATAATATATATATATATATATATATATATATATATATATATATATATATATATATATATAACGTGATGGTGTCTCCATGGGTTCAGTACTGCGTCCGACATTTAGCAATTTCTACATGTGTAACCTTGAAAATAAGATATTTACAGATTTTAAAAAAACCATCAATCTACCTAAGATACGTTAGTTAAAAATACAGATGAAATACTTCAACTTCAAAAACGTTTCCAAAATAATTTTGTCCTTAAATTCACATATGAACTCAATACTAATAATAAAATCCCCTTCCTTGACATATTGATAAACACAAATAATAATCGGGTAGGTGACCCCGTCTCCGCAACTTAATTCTGCCTTCGATATGTTTCATGAGAGTCAAATTCTCTAAGATCTCATTATGGGTCTAAGAAATTTCTCGTTTTGATTTTCAGTATAAGCGTTATTTTTGTTTCTATTTTCCTTAAGACTTCCACGTTGCTTAAGTGTTCCGTCCATGGTATTCTCATCATGCTTCTGTAGAAACAAATTTCTGTTACCAGAAGTTTCTTCTTCATCTTGAAGAAAATTGTCCAGAATTCATTTAGGAGGAATGATGTTAGATTCAGCAAATCTCTTTGGATTTCGGTGTCACATTTTTCATCCATTTCCCGCATATTGAAACTTCTTAACTTTTTGATTTTAACTTTCTACAGTTCGTAGTTCGACTCCTGAGCTTTCCGTTCAATTCCCAGATTATGTTTTGCTTTATTTACAGATTCGGACTGTTATCCTCATCTTCATTTATTCACAACGTTTCGGGCTTTGTATGCTCCATTCTTCAGGTGATTGGCTTCAGATGATTGGATTACTGAGATTTAATTATTCGGACTGTTATCCTCATCTTCATTGCCTTATTACAACGTTTCGGCCTTTGTATTTCTTCAGGTGATTGGATCTCCAAGATTCGGACTGTTATCCTCATCTTCATTGCCATATTCACAACGTTTCGGGCTTTGTATGCTCCGGCATTCTTCAGGTGATTGGCTTTCTGAAATGAAGTATTATGATTACTTGCATTATTTACATTATTCGAACGGTTATCCTCATCTTCATTGCCTTATTCACAACGTTTCGGCCTTTGTACGCTCCGGCATTCTTCAGGTGATTGGATCTCCAAGATGAGGTATTATGATTACTTGCATTATTTACATTATTCGGACTGTTATCCTCATCTTCATTGCTATATTCACAACGTTTCGGCCTTTGTACGCTCCGGCATTCTTCAGGTGATTATTTACATTATTCGACATGTTATCATTCAATGCTGTTTCTGCTGTGGAGGTAGTCAGTACTTTACATGTGCACCGCTTCATTGAGTTCTTCCCCAACTCCATAAACCAAATAAAAGTTCTCAATCCAAAATTGTTACAAGATAACCGGAGTATGACAATAGACCCCTGAAGAAGGCCGGAGGACACAAACGTCGAAAAATTGCACGTATAACAACCGAAACTAGTATACTAATCAGAGTTCAAAAGTGCGTACGCTGCATTGTGGGTGATATATTATTCTCCACGCTGCAACCCTTATTCCACAGACGAAACATGGCCAGCCTTTCACTAATATATCGCTATTAATATAGCAGATTATCGGACGAGTTACATTCCTTTGTGTCAGCAGCTGTGGGGCCACTGCTAGGACCGGCCATCCAGCGTTCACAGGGACAGGAGCCAAACCAACCCTATTCTCTTCAGAACTCCCGCGAGAATGCTTTCCTTGGCAACTACAATCTTGCTCTCTTTGGGTGCAGGATCAATCAACTAATATCTATACTACTCGTACTCATATTAAACCATTTCTTCCTTTCCTTTCCTTCCCTTTTTTATTTTTTTTTTATTTTTTATTTTATTTACAATGATGTCCATCCTATACAAGGCTAGTAGAGGGTTATAGGTTAAAAGATACCAATTGCCACCAGGACGCAAAGAGCCAACGCAGAAGTGAAAAAGACGGAAAAGACTTAGAGAGAAGAGGAAAACCTAATCCTAAACAGGAAACAACGAATAAAACCTCTACTTCTGTTCAAATGATCTTGGAGGAGTGTGAACCGGGCAATATGCAGTTTTCTTCACAACGAACTTTGTAATCTTCTATCAATAGATAATCAAATTTCAATAGCATGACAATCAGATATAAGTTTTTGAGTGTCGACAAAGATTTAAATATTTTGAGTGGTTTGTTTTTACGGCTTATCACCCCTTTGCAGTGTATTTAAATTGATTAAGATTGTAAAAATAATTTTTGCGGGAGAGACAATAATCATTTACTGATATAAGTCCTACTGATTAATCCATAGGTGGAGGGAGAAAAGTTTGATTTATAACATTCGCAAGATTATTTGTGCGTAAGTGAATATAAAGAACTTGACTGGAATCGAACTCTGCTCTCCGATTTTCAATTCTGAGCCGTTATCCATTACACCACCCACCCATTCAAGATTACATCATCTTGTATTTCCAACTGGTCACCCATCTAGGTACTGATCAGGCTTGATGTTACTTAACTTCGCTGATCGACGAGAACCGGTGTTACAACGTGATATGGCCGTAAGCAAAAAGACCAAATGGCCATTCTTGACTGATGTGTCTGAAGTAAGAGCAATATATGAATTTAGTTTCTATATCAACTCGGATTTAGGCGACACTGTCAATGGACCAAGTGGAAATCATTTTGTAGGCCAGTCGATATTATGGATGACTATAATGATCGAAAAACTGATATTTATGATTAAAAACGACTCTTATGATATACTGTGAACAGTATTGTAGAACTGTGACACTATTTAGGGTTGCGTGAAAAAAAGGCGAGAGTTAAATTAGGTGATAAGAAGCTATCACGAAAAGACACTGAACGATGTTATTTTTTCTAACAAAGAAAAGTGGTAAAGATTTTATTTTCATTTGCGAAAAGAAAAGTATCCTTTTTCTCACGCAGAAGATAGGAGATTCGTAAGATACCGGATCTGTCGAATAAATTTATGTTACGGGGCGGCGAATAAGATATAGCCATCTGCCCATGGCAATAATGAAAGTTTCAAATTGGTCAAGTGGCCTACAAGACAGAATGCTAAGAGATAATGGTAATTAGGCCACCCAAGAGAGAGAAGGAAAGATTAAACCATTAACTATCTTCGGAGATAACATTGGTTTGAAAAAAAAAACACCTGTTTTATTGTCCAAACCTGGACATGATAAAAGTTTGTATCGGAAGAGATAATTAGCGACAGAATGCAAATACGTCTAGTTAAACCACCCACTTGACGCTGGCAAAAATCTCGGTTGATAAAGTCCAGATGACATTCGGTTAATATAGAGATCAGAGACTATCCTACGAGTCGTGCGAGGTCTGCTCGTGTAAGAGAAAGGAAAAAGAAAAAAAGGAAAGGAGATATATTTTTTTCCTTTGAGCGATAATTGCAAAGACCCACGCTGTTGAGCGTTCATTGGCTGAAGGGTGGCGTGAGCGGTAGGCGAAGGTGAACTATGAAGAAGGAGGGGGAGGCCTGTTGACGCCCACAGAAGATATTGGTGTGAGATGCCACTGTGAGAGAGAGGGGAACCTGTTGACGCCCTCTGAGGGGATTGGGTGAGATACCAATATGAGAAAGGAAGAATTTGTGAGGACGATTCCCTTAAAGTAGAAAGTAATGGACTTCCAAAAATAGAAAGTAATAAATTTTCCTATCCGAGAACAAGATCCTTATTGTGGATTTAGAATTATCAAGGGACCTCAAACCCCGACAAGCCCACCCGGTTTTGGTCGGCGACCATATAAGCAGAGTCGCAGCGAGTGGACGAGAGTTGGAGTTGACCGGCAGTAAGAGTTGAGTCAGAGAGAAGTTAGTTGCAGTTGAGCTGTGAGCTCTGAGACCCGCCTCGCAGGAACCTGACTGAAAGATCCACGCAATCACGACCTCAACTTCTAGCCAAGAACAATTTATTTTTGAAAAACGACTTAGACTCACACCACCAAAACAAGTTTTACGAATATCGCCTGAAGATACACCAAGAACCAGTTTCTTAAAGAAAAAGACAACTTAAGATGTTAAGACTCGCCTAACAAACACAAAGTGTCACGTATCCATATTAGCGGTTTGGGAGAAAGAAGCAGTCCTGTATTCAGCAACCAGATATAAAAATATTGTTATCTTTTTTGTAACACATTTGAACTTTTCGAGTTGTTACTTTATTTTCTTTTACATATACTTGTGCGGTATTATCCTTGTTCGGACCCGACTTGCATTACGGCCCGGCGACTGATTGATTTCGTCTACCTAAGATCAAATCACAACGTGGGTAGGTTAGACTAGAAATCAAAACAGTTACTTCGGTAACCAGACGTTGGAGGCGAGCTGGGAACGACAAGGCTGATACCGAATCTAACCAGATTCCTATCCGAATCAGCAAAAGGTTAGAACGTCACATTTGGTGCCGCGACCAATACCAAGTCACATTGGTCGTCACAGGACAGGATAGGACGGCGACGGCGCGGAGACAGACGGGGTGACGTCACAGAACCAAGTTGTAGAATATTGTAGAATTAAATCATAGAATATTGTAGAATCCAAATCTAGGATACTGTAGGATCTAATTGAAAGATGCTGTAAAATCAAATTGAAAGTTGCTGTAGAATCAACTTGAAAGCTATTGTGGAATCAAATTTGCGTTCTTAATCGTTAACATCCGTTAAAATGGTGACGTAAATGGTTACTTTGTTTATTTTGCCAGATTTATATAATTTCCTTGGGAAAATATTTATTAATCAAATAGGACAATGAAATGTTTAATTAATCAGTTCCCTTATTATTTTTTATGTGTCGTATCAGGACGTAGGTGATCTTGGCCCTCCACATCTTCTTGTCCCTTATAGTTCTTAATAGATTTTCTTTTTTTTTTTCTATTTCTCTTAAACCTTGTACCGCAATTCATTGACTCAATCCCATCAAATGTGTTATGCACTGCTTTCCTTTGTCACATTTTCCTTTCGTTGGTCCCGTGAGTGTCAAGTTTTCCAAGCCATCATTACGCGCCCCAGAAATTGCAACTGTTTCTTCCTTTTTCGTTTCCATTCTCTCCAAAGCCTCGTTGTTGCTCACGTGTTCGGTCCATAGTATCCACAGCATCTTTCTGTAGAACCATATTTCTGTTGCTTCAAGTCTCTTCTTCAACTGTTATGAGATTGTCCAGCATTCACTGCCATATCGGAGGACTGATATTACATAAGAGTTCAGTACTCTTTTCTTTGTTTATCTTCCTTCAAGTCTCGTCTTCATCTGTGAGGAGATTCACTGCCATATAGGACGACAGATATCACGTAGTTGTTCAGTACTTTTTTGTTTCTTAATATTCTGCTTAGATTTTGAAATGCATCTTTGGCTATCCCAACGCGTCTTTGAATTTCAGTGTCGCACTTTCCCTCCTCTGAAACCGGGATGCCAGTTCATGACCAATAATATTGAAAATTATATCAAGGATCTTTAGATATATAGTAGCAGCACGAGAGCATATGTAGCAGCAATATTCGAATCATGGACGAATAATACACTTATAAATATGTAAGATAGATTTAGGCGAGAAAGATTGTCTAGCCTGACTCAGTATAATCACTTCACTGCATGTCAGCGGAGAAAGTTAACCAGAGAAGGCGCGACGATTTACTCTTCTGGAGTTTAAAATAGCCATGCTGACGTAAAGCAAAAAGGTGTCTCTCTGATGATCAATAGAAAGCAGATATTTTTGGAGGCGTTAAACTTTACAAGTTTAGTTTTCAGATCAGCTGACAATTTGACCTTATCGAACTGACTAGGCTTATTAAGAGTGAAGACACCACTGACCGTCTAAAAATATTTTTTTCACATTAAATATAGCTTAAATGCTGGAAAAATTCAATTTAAAATTAACATTGATAAATATATTTTATAAAATTGTCAGTATTAATTATTAATTTTGTGCTATCTAAAAACTGAAAGTGTGACACGAAAGATATAAATATCAATGTCGCTTTAACTGAAAAAACATACATAACAACAAAATTTCGTGGATTTATCTTATTGCAAAATTCAACAAATATTTTCATTTGATTGATTTGAAAAAGAACTCTAGTGTCGCATCTCAAGCACCAAAAGAATATAACTGTTAATAAATAGCATATTTAAAAAAAACATCTTTCAATCTACACTACACATAATTCATCATAAAGTTTTGCCTGTATATAGAAAAATTGCACCCCGAAGATGACTATTTGAAATTGTTGAAAGTACTTAGTTCATAAATTCCATTTAACGACAACTCAAATATAAGGATTGTATCATTCAAGAAATTAATAGTAAGTTAATGTTTCATTAATTCTTGCTAGCGAAGTGATTTCGCCATTAATCACATTGACATTTCTAATTAATTCTTTGTATAAATTACTTCTTTATGATAAAATATATATATATATATATACATATATATAAATCGTGTTCTCATGCGGTCAAAAACGAAGGTTGCTTTTTAACAGACTGCGAATAAACGTTTCTTCCAATGTACTCACATATGATAGAATAGGCATTATAGAGCTATTGATAAACACTGCACCATATGGAATATGCACCAGTTATTAAAGGTTTTATAATCTACTTTGTTCCATACAGGATTTGAGAAGAAAGATTTATTCTCCCATTTGTATTTGCGCCGTTATGTACATTATAACAGAATATCTGAAGGGAAAAGGAAGGATGACAGATATTCTTTGTTCTCAGAGAGAATTTTATATCAGTAAGACATATATATATATATATATATATATATATATATATATATATATATATATATATATAATCTTATAAATATAAGTAATTATACACGTCTGAAAAACCTTAGGCGTTTTGGCTTGTAAATGAACAAACCAATACCCAAGGAAAAATAAGGAATAAAAAAAGAAAGAACTAAGAACATGTAATTGAGGTTAAAACAATCGTCCAGAATCCAAGCTCAGAGTTCAAAGAAAAAAAACCTCCAACACGAGTAAAGTAATAATAACTAAGCAAAGTGCTCAATACATTAAGTAGAGCAAATCTAACTATGAATAAAAAGAACCAGGCAAACTAACTAGGTTTCACCTACGCGGATCGTCAGGGTACGCCGGTCAGCGTACCCTGACGAACCGCGTAGGTGAAATCTAGGTAGGTTTGCCCGGCTCTATAGGTTCATAGTTTTATATATATGCATGTATGTATGTCTTACGTGTAGAATAATATATCGAATATATCTACAAAGGAAAGCAGATTGTAAGGAGAAATAAAAGGGAGGGTCTTACATATAATATGGAAATACTCCCTGTGTCTAAAAAAACAAACAAACTATGTTTAGGATACCTGATTACAAACGGGTCAGATTTATCTATGTCCCATGCGATGACATATTTCACGAACGAGAAACAGCGAGACTTGGTTTTACCCAAATTGAGGACTGCTAGCTGAAATTTAATTCTACATCTGGAAAAGATATATTCCCAAAGGGAGGTGGCACCACGCACTTGTAACCTGCTGGGTGAGACAGATTTATTCT